AATGTTGTGTTTCGGCTTTAGAGGTTGAGCAGATTATAATCTAAGAGCATCTGCTTCACTTTCTCACAGGCTCCACTTTCCCTCCTCTCGTTCCGGCACACACCGTCCTTTTATTTTCTCTCCCACACACACACGCGCACGCACACACGCACACACACATGCGCACACATTGAGCTATAATGTAATGCTTTGGTTTGATCCAGACCTCCCATTCATTTGTTTAGCTCTGAAGGTCTATGAAGTTGATATGTGTTTACATATTTGTTCACCCTTTCACTCTTTTCCAGTAACTACGGGTGCTGGTCGACCTCGTGTGTGTGTGTGTGTGTGTGTGTGTGTGTGTGTGTGTCTTCTTCCCATTGCTGAATTACACAACTCTTTCCAACCCAGGGCCTGAGAACTGCTCTGATGTGACCTGATGATTTTATTGCAGCTACAACCTTTTAAACGACTCGCTCACTGTCTCTCGTTCTATCGTTTTCCCTCTTTCTCTCATTCTATTTCTCACAGAAACAGACGTATATACACATACACACACATATCATATATATATATATATATATATGAACTGTTTCCCCCTGTGTCTCCGTCTCTCACTTCCATCTCTCTTTTTTCTTCCCTCCACATCTGTTAATCTGCTCAGGGAATAGCAGAAGACAGAGTTTTCCAAACCTCTGTGCATTTACGTGTCATGCAATTCATCACTGGTTGAGTCCTAAGTTCTGAGAAAGTCATACTTTGACTGAGAAATGGGGCCTGAACTTAAATCAGATTATGGGTTGCGCAACAGTAGCCCAGAGCTTGGAAGTTGCTTTATTGGAGGTTTGGGGTAAAGGTGGTCAGATTAGATTTATACATCTCTGTAAAAAAAAAAAAAAAAAAAAAAAAAAAAAAAAAAAAAAAAAAAAAAAAAAAAAAAAACGAAGACAGAACAGACCTCCAGGGGTGTTTTTGGATCCACTTCGTCTGTAAAACCTGTTGAATAAGTGACGGAAGCTAACATTTACAATAACAGCCTCCCATCGCACAGCTTATAAACTCATCACTTGTGTAATTGAAGATATCGCCACTGGATGCCTGACTGAATAACGTTGCTCGACTCCACATGACTCAGAAGACGTCTATGGGTGAACAAAGAGGTAAGATGGCTGACTTCTACCTGCTAGAGAGACAAATAACAATAACACTAAAATAAGAATAAACTAAAACATAACATTACATAACACTAATGTGGCAACTGAGTTCAAAGTCGTAAAAGACTTTGATTTAAACCCAGAACCTTCTTGCTGTACAACAGCTGAGCAAACACCTGCTCCACTGTGTGGCCATGACCAACCTAAACAGTGTTCTGATGCATTTCTTTTCTTTTCATCTTTGACAAATACTAAAGATGGCATATTATGACGTGCTTAAACCAACAAGGTGGTTCCCAATGATTCTTTAGCTTTTTTCTTTATTCTTTAACAGCTGCCACAAATAGTCAACTGCAGCGTGACGACTTGCTGAGTTTGTGGATAAGGTCTTTCTTGAACTGTGTGTCCCGATTCCTAAAAGGTACAAAATGGCTTCAATCATTTCCTACTCAAAGATCTAAGGTTGAGTTTTGACTAAATCCTTTAATTTGGCTACCACATAGATCAGTTTTACTAAGAATGAAGCATTGCCGCTTTCACAGCTAAAAGCAACGACAGACATGAGTCAAAGCAACAGGATTATTAGTGATTACAAACCCTTTAAAAACTACAGGAACGTTTGTGTGGATGCAAATACCCATTTAAAACTTTTACACAATGCTGCAAGCAGCGACATGACATACGGTGGCCTGCTGGACATCTAAAAGTCAATCATGCATGGGGCCCCAGCTCCTCTGTACCACAAATATGTGTATTGTTAGTGCATGGCTCTCTGCAAAGCCGTTGAAGCCCCAGCTCCTGTTTAGACCTGAGGTTGCCCTCTGGTCTTTGTGTTCCCATCATGGTCCATCTCTGATTGATTTTGACAGGGAACAATAATGGACACGCAGAGAGAGGAAATTCTCTCTGGCTATTTGTCAGTCCATATTAGCTCAACCCATTAGCCCCGAGTCTCTGTGAGTGACTGCAGACCTTCACTGAGGACGGCATAAAATGTAATACTGGTAAATATTAACAAAAAGTTTATATCTGTACTTTTTTATTTATTTATTCCCATATAAAGGGTTTACACAACACTCTTAAAATGCCAAGTTCTTGTGATTTACAAACCATTTGAATAAAATAAATTTCGCCTGTGACCTGTGTAACTCGACTGAAAAACAAACTGAAATGTTTAGGTGGAAAATGAAAATACAAATAAAAATTAAAAAAACCCCAGAAAGATCTGGTTGCTTAAGTGTGCACACCCTCTTCTAACTGGGGATGTGGCTGTGTTCAAAATTAACCACAACATTACATTTCCTGTTAAAAAAGAGAGCCGGTTCACACCCACCAGCATTTAAAGTGCCCCTGATAAACCTCCAAATAAGCTTCAGCTGTTTTTCTGTGCGCTTCCTGAAACTTCCTCATAGGTTTCACAGATTGGAATTCGTTTTCTACAGATATCAGTCAGCACAAAGGTCCACAAGGTTTTCCAGTGCATCAGATATGCCGTGGAATATATAAAAACGGTAATGATCCAGTGGAGAACATAGCGAAATTACTGAGAACTGGGTGTCCCTTCAAGATTGATAAAAGGACAAGAAGAAAACTGCTCAAGAAGGCTAAGAATTTAACCAAGTCTGGCTATAGTTTGAAAAAAGAAAAAAACAAAAAAACAAATGTGAATTTTTTCAAATGAATGTGATGAAATATCTTATTCCCTGATGAAGCCAAACTTGACTTATAGCCATGATTCCTAAATGTATGCTTGGTGTAAAAACAACACTGAATGGAAAGAGAGCAAAGCGGTATTGAGACTCTGTTTCTCGAAGTCAAAACAAAACCTTCACATCTTAGTGTTTCGTCAAAACTTCTTAATTCCAATTTAGATATTTTATAACACATAAAAATGTTTAGCGAGGCAAAAATAAATCAATTTAAGTGGTAAATAAAAAGGCTGTTATTGAATAAATTTCTCTACATATTCAGTGCAATTTATGAAACATGTTTAAGACATCAATTTTCATACTTATCAGTTTTCAGATGCATTGCAAGTACCTTTTTTTTTAATCAAGCATATTTAACAAACAAAATCTAAATCGTATAGTTTAGGACTTTGTGCATCAGAAACAAATTTCTTTGAAGAACAACAGGCTCACAAGACCCAAACTGATAGCTGTGCAATAATATATAATATTAATTGGGAAATACAGGTTGCTGTGTGATTTATACGACTATTACAGAGAAAAATAAGAAAATAATGACATGTCTGCGTGTTAATATGCCCTGGAAATAAGAGTAATAGCGTGTCGCCTGGGAAAGCTGTTAGGCATAAATCTCTGAAAAAGGGCTCTTGAATTTATTACTCCAGCTTGAAGCAGAAAAAAAAAAAAAACTGAGCATGTGCTCGCAGGAAACAGGTGAGGCTGGTGAGATTCAAGCAAAATTCATGTTTTTCTTGCTTTTGAGAAAATGGCATTTTAAATGGCATTTCAATGTGGCAGCCTGAACCAGCGGATAAATTCATCTTTTCCTCATCTGGAGTTAAGTGTTTTCACAGGTTTGATGCAGAAAAGGCAAAGCGCTTAGTGAACAGTTTAATGTCGCAGCTTTGAAAGGGCTCGCATGGTTTAGCGTGTTGTATTTTTAATAACAGACTTCATCAAACAGCATTACGGTTGAAAAACACCATAAAGGACAGATGGCGCTGACGGGGAAAGCGTCAAACAGGACACGGATTCAGACACGTTCGCCCGACTCTGAGAGGAAAATGAGCTCTAACTTTACATATTGCTGCCATCAGATTAAGAGTTTATTCCCTTCCTGTGCCAAATCTTGCACTAAGGCTTCACACTGCTCTAAAACAGACGGAGACGGAAATGTTTTCATAACAGTCCTCATTGTCCCGAGAAAGGTTTGAAATGTGACAGGTGAGATTTTTATATATACACAGTAAAAATGCCAGTGTTGAATTAACACCCAAAAGTGTCTATATGTGTCCAAGTCAGCGGGTGTTAAAGTAACACTTCTGAAAGTGTTAAAAGATTGACGCCCATGTTTTTGTTAAATTAACATTGGCCTATAATACTGAAATGGGTTTAAGAAAAGCTAAACTTTCCATTACCGTGTATTGTTTTGAATATTCTCCACTGGATTTGATTGATATCGACACCTTGTGGGTCAATTATTAACTTTTTTAACACCACATTATGTTTTGTGATCAACACTACACTGGTGTTACTTTTAATATATTTTAACACCAGCACCGCTGTAAATGTTAATGTGACACTGTATTGTTGAATTTAACACTAGCTGACTTGGACACATATAGACACTTTTGGTTGTTAATTCAACACTGGCATTTTTACTATATATATATATATAAATCAGTAGAAAGGAAGAAAAAAAAGGAATCACACGCTGGCTCAGTAAGCGCCAGCTTCAGAAATAAAAATAGAAAGGAGCTTTTATAACCCTTTGAATGGTGCATGTTGACGTGAACTGTGCTTCTTTTGTTTGTGAACGGATATCTAGTTAAAGGACATCAAGTTGGAGAGGTTATTGAACTTAAACTGTTAAACAAACCATTTGTTGAATTCTAAATTTCACCCTCCTGTAAAGTGAGAAAAGTAAACACTGTTTCAAAACAATTTCTTAACTGTTTAACAATTGCTTAGAACATCTACAAAGTAACCTGAAAAACGTTTGGAAATTAAAATGCGTTTTCTTGTCAGTGAATGCACCATACATAAACATTAACATTAACAGGTGGCAATAATAATGACACAAGGAAAAGCTCATTTCAGGTATACTGAGGAGTTAAAAAATTATGTTTTATTTACCTTGCCTTTGTATGTATAGCACTTTGTGCAAACTTTCTTTTCGTTTTTAAATGTGCTTTACAAATAAACTGGAGTTTGGACATCAGATGTAGCACAAAGCGTCTGGATACTCCTAAATTTTTTTTTTTTTTTCTACACACGTCTATTGTTGGCTGCAATTTTTTGAGGATCTCAGAGTTAAGGTCAACGTTCTACCATCCCTATAGGAAATACTTACAATAAATACACCTACCAGTGCTAACTGTGGTAATTACTAACATAAGATGCTAAAAAAATAAAACAAAATAAAATTTCTCGATTGTATGTTTGATTTAAAATAACACTGCTTAACAGGTGAGCTGTGGAACAGTGGCTGCTCTCTGTCACACACAGTGTGTCATCTCTGTTCCTGGTGTGAATAATTAATGATCGCAAAACAAACTCTTCTGTGGAGCTACAATAAACTGATAAATGACTACAATAAAATGATTTTTCTTCTCAATCATTAAGATTGACGCAATATTTTTTTTTCACCCACTACAAAGGAAATTTAAAATAAATACAATTCTCAGAATTTACTGCACATTTAGGTTTTCAAGTGGGCAAAAAGATTTTAGAGGCAATCATTTCAGCTTGAAGGATGATGCATCATTGTTTTGTTTCATGTTTTCGATACCTCCTTTACAAAAGGAAACAGTATTAGTAGAGTTTATACAGGGAGATACTTATTTTACTTTAAACATTTCATTGTAGGGACAGAAAAATGTTCAATTCTCTCAGAGATATTTTAAAGTCTGTCAGTCCTAGTTTAGAGATCATAAATTGGTGCATCTCTAGACATGTGTTCACACTTCTGAATTATCTTTATTGATTATTGTAGTTGGATGTTATAGTTTGTAAAAATATTTTAAACCCTGGTTTGGCTTCTGTCGTTTGATTTTGTTTCCGATTCCCTGTTTTGAAAGCTGAACGCGACATCTGCCTCACATGAACATTGTCAACCATCCCGGAGAAAAAGTTAAACTGAGGACAAAATTTTTGTGGCCTCTGTTTTTATTTCTACACCTTGCACTTTCTGAGCTGCATACTTACACTTTCTTGCATTGCCGCAAAACAAAAGTGCCAGGATTTAACTCTCTGTGAACTCCCACCTTTAAACAACATCAGCCAGACACACACTGGGGCACAGACAACAGGTTAAGCTAGTCTAATACATACAGATACAAAAGCTGGACATTATTTCTAAATTACAATGTAACAGTATCCTAGGTATAGTACAGTATAAAATGGCTTTCATTGTGGATAATGACGATACGCGTCAATTCCCTTCTGTTAGTGAAACAATCACTATATGACAAGTTACGTAACAGACAAAATCTGCTATTAATGTAAAAGAAATCTCATAAAAAGCTCGTTGCATAACACTTGCTCCCTTCCAGTAAATTCTTTGATGTTCGAGGAGAAAAAATAAAATAATAATTTGAACCTGTTAGGAATGAAAACATCCAGTGAATGGCAGCGCACCCGTGGCCAGTTTCCAACACAATCCTTCCCTGCAATTCAGGTCCCCTTTTCTTCTTTCCTGTCCATCCGCTCTAATAGATGCACAGAAAATAAAAGGGCCACCGCTGCTGGCTGGCCAAAAGAGAAAACCTTGGCTCAATTTCTTTGTTCATTGCCTTTCCATTGCAAATCCAACAGGCATTCTCACTCAACTCTCCTTTCCCCAGACCACAGCTATGGCTTTGGATACAGCAGTGAGTCTGTCCTTTCTCCTTTTGTGTTTGAAGATAATGCCCACTGTCTACAGAGAAGGGAACTTAAGGAAAGTTTAAACAAAATCCCCAGCCAGAAAGAAATCCGACCATTCAGGGGAGCAGATTTTAAATTTAGGACAGAAATAAAAAAAAAAAAAAAGCTGCACTGCTGACAATGTAGAGATTGTAACTCTGCGGACTATCTGACTTTTGAAGTTGAAAGTAGACCGTAAAATAAATTTGATTCAGCCGGGGGTTAAATTGGGGTCAGGTTTTAAAAATAACTCCCCTCTCGGAAATGTCTCTGTAACAGCAAAATTAACACGGAGCAAGAAGAAGAAGAAGAAGAACAAAAACAGTTTTAGTTCAGAACAGAGAAAAGCCACGGGGTCAGTTTAAAGTATTCATCACAGCTCAGAGTCTACGAGGTTTTCTTCTTCTGTACCTAGTGAAATCCTTTCCCCTCAATCAGTCTTTTTTGTGTCCTCTCAGCTACATTTGCAAGACTTGACGATCATGTTGGAGAGCTGCTCCACCTTAGGGGTCCGTCCAGAGTAGTAGAGTATAGTGAGGGGCTCCAGGTCCTGAGGAACGCAGCAGGGGGCGGCGGAGGCCTCTGGATTCAGAGTGTTGTACAGGCTCAGCAGCTGTTGGGAAGCAAAGTGTGGAAGTTAAAAACTCTCATTCACACACGTTTCCAATGCCTTCTGTTTAGTCTGTTACGCTTGTGTATAATTGAAGAAATCTGGGAAAGATTTGGGTTAATTCACAGCAGAGAAAAAGTCGGACAATGTGACAGGAATGTCTGCAAGTACTTGCAGTGGCCAAAATATTTGCATATTCATTCTTATGCTATGACACTAAGTAATTGCATAACTTTCTTGTGCATTTCTGCCCAAGAACAAAATGATGTATCAGAGCACATCTAATTTTAGCATATCATGTACCTTTGTCAGTCCAATTACCAGTCTATGGAATATATGGAAGAATATATTTTAAAATGTTTCCATACACTTGTGTTCCTTTTCCACACTTATCCATACACGGAAAATAGAAGAAAAAAATGCTCTAGTATTGGTTTGAGAAGCTATTTCTTTCCCAGACAGAGTGTGGAGCCCTCCAAATGCTTTAACAGTGGCTGAAACTAAATATTTCGTCTTATTGGACAACGTTTCTATCAAAACCTTGCACATATTTTACTCTCCGACAACTAAATGATCAACATATGTAAATGGAAGCAGTTATTTCTTTTTTAGAGTTAAACTAGAACAGGTTCTTGGTAGGGTTAGAGTTGATCATTTTTGCTTCATAGGCCTTCTTTCTTACCGAGCTGTGTGTTGTGTCGGAGCTCCTCAGGTAAGGGCAGGGCCCGGAGCAGTAGTTGGCGTCGTAGCCGCTGGGCTCGTGGATCCACTTCCAGTCCAGATCGCGGCGGAAATCTATGTGGAGCCGGCGAACGCAGCAGCTCTCCTCCGTGTTCCTGCGGAGCACGAGAACATCTAATGCGGTTGCGTAAAGTTTAATCTCACAGGCAATCCGCTCCTGTCGCTGAACGAAAGCTTACGAGAAGCAGTAGTTTGTGTCCAGCGCTCTCTTGCGTCGGCGAGAGGAGTGGGTGTCCATGCGGTGGGGTGGGATCATCATGAGGATGAGGTGAGGAGGGTGTTGCTGCTTATGTTTTTTCAGGTTGTCCAGGTCCAAGCGACTCTGCTCCTCATCTCCGTCGACACCTAAACCACAGGACAGGATTCAGCTTCTCTATCTCCACCTATTAAGCCACCACAGCGTCTTCTGTCACGATTTTTATCAATCGTCGCATCCGATTTGAAAAGTGCGCGAACGTTTCTCCTGCTAGTCTTTCACACAACGGAGACGCAAGAAGTTTTGACCATGCACTCAACGAAATCACTTAAGCAAGTGGCAACTTAACCGAGGAAACCCACCTCTAAACTTCACCTCCAGAACTTCCTTTTCGTTGTCGATGATGTCACCGTTTGAACTGAAGGTGTGGCAGGGACAATGCACGTTGATTTCCAAACCTAGATTAGATCCTGGTGCCAAACGATCGTGAAAGGGAGAGCAGTAAAAATGATTTTAATGTCAGCAGGAGCGATTAATGATGTCTTATTTTAAACTCTGTCAGATAATGTTAACCCCACCTTTGTTTATCAGCCACTCTCGTACGGTTTCTGTCACGTCGAAGGTGACCCACTCAGGAGAGCCTCTGGTCTGCACGTTTTTAGCGGCAATGAAACGCTGCTTCCTAATGTGCTCGTTTGGTTTCATAATCTGCAAAACAGTGACACAAAGGTATAATTATAAGCTTGCTTGCTACTGGGAGGTTGTCAACAAATGGATGCCACAATTTGCAATGAATTTTTCAATTAACTTTGCAATTTTGCACTATTTTGCGTTCGTCTTTTGTATCAAATCCAAAATTCATCACATAAAGTAAAGGATGTGGTTGTAATGTGACAAAATAGGTAAAAGTTTAGGTTGCTGGTGTAATGTTGCAATGCTGTGTAAAGAGTTGAAGTTTGCTGGGGTTTTTTTATTATTATTATTATTATTATTGAATCCAGTTTTGGTCATGGGACATGGAGATTTATATCATTTCAAACTCCCCTGAGTATCTAGTGAAAACGCAGCAGAAGGTTGTTAATTTTGGCCTCTCCGTTACGGAGCAGAACTTAGGGATGTTATTCCAGCTGAAGAAGGAAATATCTCCGGGCTTAAGGGGTTTTAATAAATGTTCATGACAGACTGAAAATATGGAACTTTATTGGTAGAAGGACAAAGAAACGCTACCTTTACGCACCTGGTAGAGCTCAATCCGCTGTTCACTCCTCACGGCTTTGGGGTTTGGTACCCTCAGGGCTCGAAACTCTGCTCTGAACAGGTTGGTTGAGTTCCTTTCCATTTCAGAGACACTGAAGCGGAAAACTTTAGAAGTCAGGCTTTTAGGGCAGGGGAGATTATCTGGTGAGGGGAAAACAGATGAAACATGGCTTTTAAGCAAAAGAAAACATGCTGGAACTCAGAGGGGTATTCACAGAAAACTATAGTTTTTTTGTGAATATTGTGAGTAGTTTCTAACTGAATAGTGAGGAGGTGTAGGGGTGTGACTTAATGTTAAAATATCAAGATAAGGGCTACAGAAAGAAATCATTCACTTCAAACTTTCTAAATAAAAGCAAAAGTAATTATATATATATATATATATATATATATATATATATATATATATATATATATATATATATATATATATTTCCTGCATTGTTTCCCAAAAACAATGCAGCATCACTGAACTATTTCAGCCTCAGCAATAAGACATTTGAGTGATTTCTGCTGACGAGACGCTGCTATGATTTTAGAGAGCCACCAGGGTGAGCTAATGAAAAAGTCAGCAGAGGATCACAACCCTGGACAATGTGGTGAGATTGTGCCGGTAGCGATGTTTATAGATTCTTTCCTCTGTGTGCTGTCCATCTGCCAAAAATTGGGCTGTGCTTCCAAATGATCAGTAAATGCACCACTTCGATTTTGTCAAAAGGAATTATTCCTAATGAGTAGTTTTTGTTTTTTCTTTCAAACTGAATAAAAGCAGTCACGCTAAAATATTTCACATGAAATTAAGCTACTGCAATGAAAATAATTTATTTAAAGGCTTTTCTTCACACCTTTACCAAAATGGGAATAAATGTGATCAAAGCTGTCTTTTTACATAGAGTCCCATATGAACATATGACCAAAACTCAGTCCTCACATTGCAGCGTACAATAGGCTGGCACTTTATTTTCCAGCCCACAGTGAATGAGGTTGGCTGCTGCCTCTCTTATCAAAAATTCCAACAGATTCTGTCTATATTTGGAGAAAGTGATAACATTGATAGTAAAACGCCAAGATTTTTTAAATGTCATATGACTTCATCTCAGTGGTATCTGTGTATCAAAGGCCTTGCTATACTCAGTTCTGTTGATAAGCAGTTGGAGCTGAAGCTTTTGTTATCGCGATGACTTCCCTAAAGCCAGGCACTGACATACACCAGATCTGTCGCGCACATAAACCCCCAAGATGGAAATCTTTCCTGTCGTTTGCTGACCAGCTTGTGCAGTGATGAAATGAGCCCTTTTCTACCAACTTCCTGCTTTGTTTGCACCTGCCGTGTAGTTTCGGTGTTTTTTCTGTTGTTTTTTTTTATGTTTTAATTAGGGTAAAAAAAAAATGTTCAATTTAGTTTTAGGGAACTGCTTTAATATTATTTCAGTATCTTGATGTCTTGAAAATAATTTGATTAGTGATTCAAATGACAAAGATGGAAATAAGCTAGGACAGGTACATTTGAAAGCTTGCTGTTGTAACTGATGGCACCTGCGTGCATGTAATAGGAAAAATCTTTAAAAAAAATATTTTCCATGCATCTGCAAATAGGGTTTTCTAAAATACTTCCCCCCTCCCATCAGAAACTTTTATTGACAGTCAGGGGTTGGGAATATAACCCAGTACGACTGCATCGAGGACTGTAGCCTGTAAATGGGGCGGACGATCTGCCTCTACCCAATGTAAAGCCACAAAATCACAACGGTTTGACTTCAAAACAAAGATATGTTCATGCCTGTAAACAAAAACAGAAAGAGTGGCAGTAAAGATGCCTTAGTCGTATTTAAACAGCAAATGCACAAGATTCGTTTTATTCTTCTTTTAAACAAAGCCTGATTTCACTAATGTGATAGGTTATTTAATTATTCCTCAGGTACTTATTTAAATCGCTCATTATGCATCTTATAACCGTATTCCAGAAATCTGAACATTTATCAAAGAGCGCAAATTTAGGCTGAAAAATAGCACCGTGAGCGATCGAGGCCTTACTTGTTGTGCCCCGCAGCTCCACATCACCCATGCTGTGCTTCTACATCAGCACTATATTTTTACCCTTTTCTCGTTTGCATCCATCATATAAACATCCGCACAGACTTTCCCGATTTGTGAAAACTGAAAAAACAGAACACAAGACATCACATGATAACTTGAGCCTCACACTATGTGGACACTGTGTTTGACAGCAAACGAGGCCTGATTTCCATATTCGCAACAGCAAATACACAGAGAGTTCACCCAACATAAGGCGTTTCTACCTCCCCATGACCTTAAAATTATTTTAAAAACTTGTTCAAGGCACAACTGACAGATTTTTTATTTTTTTTTTCCACATGGTTCTTGTGCAACATGCTTTCGAAAGTTTCTAATGCCGTTCTGGCCTTCTGCCCTGTGGCCTACATCAAAAACGGCACTTACTGGCTCCTTATTGTTCAAATGAACAATTTAAATAAAAACAGACATTTTACATTTGTCTGAAACTTGGAAAGCCTTCAGTTTGTTATCCATAAGCATGTTGTTTCTCTTTGACGTGATCTGACGCAGACAGTTATTTCTGTAGGACAAGAGGACAAGCAAGTAAAGCAGATGTGTGTCGACCTCTGCGAGTCAGAAAAGAAATTAGCTACTCCTCCAGTCAGAGAAGTGATTAAAAAGTTCAAAAGAATTGGAGCTGTGACGAACAAGGCTGCAGGAGCATCCACATTTATATTGCTCCCATGCAGGAGGATGAAAACATAGAAAATAAAATTTAAAATACCAAAGAGAGGCAAATTAATGAGTCTAACTAATGGCATCTGTACCAGAAGTGGCAACTACACCTTGTTACCATCTGGTACAGTAGATAAAAAGAAGCCTATGCATAAGTGACAAAAGAGAAGTTCACATATAAATACTGCTGAAACTTAAATTAAATCTTCTTTTTGTCTCTTTTTATTTTTCCCCAGCTGTTCACAAGCGACCGTAATAAAATAAACTCCAGTTCTCGCCTGTTAGCATTAACATAAATTCACCTGAAGCTAATCTAAGGTTCTGAGAGCAGGACTCCACTGTTTGGTGTCTTTGGTCCAAATCGCTTTTGAAAGATTCGAACCAGAACATTACAGAGGGGAAATTAAACTTCAGGAAACCTGTTGATTTCAAAGGTGCGGTGATGCAATAAGCTTGGCTTTGCCCTGGACCGTGAGGCTCTCTTCAGCATTTATTATCCTATTCTACTCTCTCAGTCTGACCACAGACACGTGTCCCCCTCTCTCCACAAGTTTTCCATTTCCATGCCGTTTATTCTATTAAAATAAAAATGCTGGTAACTATATAAGTTTGGCATGAAATATGTGGAGTAAGAAGAATATGAGCCTAAACAGCCTTTTCTGATTATTTTAACAAATTGGCCCCATCCAAAGTAAAGCTCATTATAAACAGAGCACCAAAAACCATACTTAGTGGCAAATTGGCAACAAATTGGAGGCATAATGGAGGAATTCATGTTGAAGGCGCTGTTTCACTCTCGGTTTAGCAAAAGCTAAACCTCAACAGTGAGGTGATCTCACCCCTCACAGACCACCTGTGTGTGTAATTATCAGGCCAAGACACAGCGGGCTCGATCGGAGCACCGCCTCAACACCATCGTGCCTGTGAACACGAGGACTTCGCCGAGAGCGGGATCCCTCTCTCAAAGCTAACCAGGAGGGTCCCCTCCGTCCTCCAACCCTTCCTGTCCACCTCTGTTCACTTTCCCTTCCCCTAAAGGCATCCCCCATCCGCCGAGGCAGATGTCCCTCTCATTTGGCCCTGACTGGAAAGGAAATGGTAACATCTGGGAGGTGGAACATGATCCACTGAGGGGGGAAGAAACAAGAGGGGATAGAGAGTAAAGGAGGGGATTGACCTTCCTGGTTCAGAGTTAAAACAGGTGGGACAGCACAGGAGTAAAACACATTTCCTCTCCTTTGCAAGTTCCCACTGCTGTTTTTAAATATATTGTCCAGTGGTGCATTTTTCCCACCAATAAATGAGTACTGACAGAAAAAAAAGAAAAAAAAAACAGCTGAGTGTGGATTTCTACTTCAGGATTTCACAAAACATGTTTTTTTTTTTTTTTTTTTTTTTTAAGAACGCTGAAGGAAAAACGTGCCAATTCTGCTTGATGACGTCAAAAGAGGCACAAGAACTAAGCTGATTAGCTGGCTTCAGTAAACATCATGGCGACTGAGGGATTTTGACATAAATTTTGATATTTGATTTCCATTTAAAAATAAGTATTTCAATAAAAAAACCCCCCATCAAAATAAGTAAGAAAAAGAAGATAAAAATAAGTTTACAGGCTGATAAGTTTCTTTATGCCATATCTTTGCATACAGAAGTAATCAGGTATCACAGCTCGATTTGGGTAGATTCCGTCTTCAACTATCTCCATTTTACAACTAAATCGCAAAACAAGTCGGAAAAAATAACAATGACTGTAACTGAGATGAATCTACAGAGAATTTGGAAAGCAGCTTTAAGATCTTCACAATGTAGAAATATGTTTCTTTGCTTTGTGAAAGCATGAAGTGTTCTCAAAGAAAATTGTTCGTTTCTATTTGGTCATCTTAAATGAACTAGTTCTTAAATATTTAATATTTTTATTTGATTTCTTTTTATTTTGTATAACATTTGTAAAAAATATATATATATTAAGGTATCTCGCTGTAGATTAGAATGTCATCCAAAATATCATCATCATCATCATCATCATCATCATCATAGTGTGTGAACAGTTTGGAGTGCAATAACTGCTGACTAATATAAGTATTTTGAACTTCTGATTTATTTGCCCATGTTGTGTTCAACCAGTCGAACAAAGGATGATCTCACCAGAGGCAGATAACCGAACCAAAAATGTAAAATGTAAAAGCAGAAAAGAGTTTATATCGCTACCGATACACCGATGTTTTCTCCATCACAATAATTTCTAATATTGGTGCAGCCTTGACTTGGAAAAACTATCTATTTCATTGACTGTGATTCGAAGAATGAACCTCATTTATCTTGTAGATTTATGACACACACAGTGAAGTGTGTATTTCTTTTCAAGATGTGATCACGACTAAATGCTAATGGAAACTCAAAATTAATTTTCTCCAATAATAAGAATGTCAAACAAAACCCTTAAAAATGAGTTTTTATTACATTATTACCTCATTAATGTCAGCCTATTTTAAAAGATGTCCGCGTACTAGAGAGTAGATGCACTCAATGCTCCCTCCTTCGACATCATTTACTGCATCCATGCAGCATCGATGGAGGCGACCATTCTGTGGATCTGCTGCGATCGCTTTGATAGTCAGCTCCTCTGCACTTCTGTAGCGTCTCATCTTTCTCTTAGCAATGCCCCTTAAAGAATCTACGTTAGATCATTTGTGTTTACTGGCTGCTTAGTCTCATTTAACCAGTTTTTCTTTTGGTTCTCCGGGCAGAGTGTCAAGTCCTGCTTAGAAAATGAAATCATCTTCACACAGTTTGTCAGCAGAGGGAATAATGAAGCACTCTAAAACTTTGTGGCTGCTCTGACTTTGGACTCGTTAAAACTCAGTAAACCAACACCAGCAGATGACAAAGCTCCCTAAATTGTTTCTGACTGTGGAAATGCCATGCTGAGCTCTGATCCAAGCAACTTCGATTTCGTGCCTCTTCGCTCGCTCTCCAGACTCTGGGACCTTTGGTTTCCAATCAAATGCAAAATTGGCTTTATGCTACTGAACAACAATTCAGCTTTTTTTTTGTTTTGTTTTGTTTTGTTTTTGTCCTAGACTGAGGTTGTTGTCTCTGGATCAGGAATGGCTTAACACAACTAATGCAGGGCATTTAGCCAAAGTCCTGCACATGTGGTGGATCTTAGAAAACTGAGTCCAGCCAACTACTTTATCTTTTATTCTTATTGCACTTGCACACTTTTTCCTTCCACTCAACCTTATTGCTTGGCTCCTACATTCTCTGAACAGCCTGCTTCTTCAGCAATGTCCTTTTGAACACTTGTAAAGTCAACGCTGTTAGCCACAGGCCACAGCATCATATATCTACGAGATTTCCGATGCTTTTGTCAAATTTTAAGAAGCTGAATGCAGAGTTTTCGTTAGTTGTGATATTTAGTTATACGCAGAAAATAAACGCTTTAAATATCTCACAAAGTGTGACCTGTCTTCATATCTCGTTCATTTTCAAAGCTATATGCCACCTTTTAAACGCCGTACAATTTTATTGATACAACGCAGTACAATCGACATATTTTTGAAGGAAGTACAAATTGGCCTTCATGCGGTGCGTAATTACGCACTACGGAGACAACGAGAACGTTTAGAAAAGGGAAGAACTCACTGTTGTCCGGCGTTCCGTGCACCATGTTGATTTTGTATATCTCTTTGGCGATGTACTCCGTCTCTGTGTTGTCCTGGCCGCAGCTCTGCTTCCGATCCCTGCCCAGCTGCTCCAGAAGCTCCTTCGTGCTGTTATATAACGCCTGGATCTGATAGGGTACCTTGCTCGGTCCCATGGAGTGCGGGGGGCTCGACAGCCGAAGTTTGCTCAGGATCTGACCCCGGATCGCCTCGACTCTCTTCCTCTTCACATGGTCGATGTCCACGGTGGCACAAGTGGACAGGGGCGAGCTCAGAGTTGCGCAGTTGAGGAGGACGACGAACAGCAGAGCTTTGCCCAGATGCATCTTTCTGTCCGCATTTGTTTCGCTCTGGCAGCTGAAATGTGTCGGTTCACAGAGAGGACTGCCTCTACCTTTTAAATCAGCTCCTTTTCTTTTCCAGCTTAGAAACTAACGTGTGGACTAACTCCGCTATGCGCAAATCCGAATTTAAGTTCGCCCATTATTTATTCATCCGATTCAAATTTCTATTAAGACTTTCTTTCTGTATTCTTCTGTTCAGTCCATCAGTCCTCCTGGTCCTCCTTGAGCGGTTTGTCTCGCGTCGTCTATTTCGGAGCATCAAGTTTTATTCTCCGTGCAGGGTGACCGCAGGCTGTCGCGTTAACGAGGTATATGCGATTTGGAGCTGCTGATACGGCTTCATATGAGCTTTATAGGCTGCCGCTGCTTTCTGACGTTTGATGGAGGAGGGACCGCAGACACCCGGGAGCGCACAAATCACAACAGGGGCCCACTGCCACACTCACTGGACCTGAAATACTAAATAATTTTGTTTAAAAAAAAAATAGAGAGAGTGGAAAGTATAAATTGCTCTTTTGTTCCCTGGTGCTGTAAAACAGACTCCTTTGGAAGGAATGCTTGCTTGAAGATTTAGCTTACCATGGCGCAGACTGCAATCCAGATCTGGTCTTGGGATCACTTTGGTGCGTCTTATGTGACGATATGATAATGCTACATGATACGGAGGGTTGTGACAATATTTATTCTAATTGTCTTCTTGTGATATTGTGTGGTTTAATCTCCCTGGTAGTGCGCCCTCTACTGAGCAAAAATATATTCACGTTTGATTACTTCATTCAACTTGGCAAAAGTAAAAGAGGAAAGGAAAAAGTATTTTTTGAAAAGATATTGAGTTACTAATTTGAGGCAAACATTTTTTTTTAAAACATAGCCACATTTCTCAGATTCTTCTTTTCTTTTCTTTGGTCTTGACAAGATTTTACATTTGATGTCGAAATTTCAGAACATTTCTGTGTACATTATGTATTAAATGCATTTTTTATTCAGTAAGTCTCTTATTCTTATTCTTATTAGTATTTTTAAATAAGAAATCTTACCATTATAATTTTCCACCCTTATAGTAAGTCTTGTCTGATGAGTTTTGATTTCTGCTGCTCGTTTCACTTGTTATATCAGAATTGGACTTAAATAAAGAATCCCACTTGCAGTTTGACCACAGTTGTCCTATATAACTTAGAGTTGTGGAACTCTTAAAGAACCATTTTGATTAATTCTTCCTGATTAAAAATGGTCCCTTGTCTCTTGTTCTATATCTACCAGTAGGCAGAAGATAAGAATATGATTCAAAACTGAATGTTTTTGAGAAAAGTATAAAAAAATTACCTGAATTATGCAGGGTAGAGGGATTAAGATATTCTAATTGTCTTTACAATTAAGCTTTTCAGCCTATTTCCATTGGTAAATAAGTCATGAAGTTCACAAAATCTCACAAAGACAGCTTACTGCATTCCTCGTCTACTTCTTCTGCAGTTCTATGGTGCCAAGCAGTTCTAAACAAAATCTAGTCGTTTGATGGAGATCTCATATTACAGACGCCATGCCAACACATTTGTATTCTCACTCAATGGAATCAATGATTTCTTGCTGCGAGCACAGATTTTTCCCATGCCCTCAGCAGCCACCTTCCACACAAATGTCATTTTTTTTTCTTCTGTCCTAATGTTTGACGGTTTGTTTGCAGCCGTCTGAGTTATTTTATCTTTTCCCTCCTTCATCAGCTTTATCTCTCTTCTTAAGGCATATCCGCATTTTTCAAACCTATTTAAGGTCAGACTGTCGCAGGCTCCGGAGGCCCCGTACCCAGACATGGGATCTAACATTTTACTATGTTGCTTTTGCCTGGCAGTTTGCATACCAGGAATGATTTCATACGATGTTCAATCTTTATATGGCAAACATTTGGTTTTAATTTCCATGGTACATAGGTGTGTGATATACAGAGCTCCTGTGTTTTATTTGGCTGGTTTTCCAAAGCTTTTAATGTCTGTTTACAATGTTTTTAGAACAAATATATATTGATAAGAAATAAGGAAATTCAAACTTCTTCATACAACCAGTGCTTTGAAAAAGTATTCACATCCTCTTTTTCCACCTTATAACCACAAACCTTAATCTATAAGTGAGCAATACAAGGGTGTAGGAATATGATACATGGTTTTAATAAGTTTTTTGTTGTTCTTTTTTTTACAAATAAAATCTGAAAAGTGCGGCTTGCATTTGTGTCTAGCCCTCTTTACTTTAGACTTAATATAATCAGGAGTACAGCAGTTCTGTGAAGATCTCAGCAGAGTTGGACAAGAAAGCAATATCTCCGGTTATTAAACTTTCACAGAGCAATATTCAATCTATCATCTCAAAACAGTTGAAACAACAATCTGCCTAAATTGTTTGGCTGGTCAAGAAGAGATTTGACCAAAGAAGCAGCCAAGATGTCCATTGTGGAGGAGGTGAGATGAAGGTCAAAATTACTATGAGAAGTTTGAGTTATGCCTCAAAACATGTAGGCAACACAGCTGACATGTGAATCAAGGTACTCTGGTCAGATTAATCCAATATTTAATGTGGAGGAAAGAGCACAACATTCCCCTGGTGAAAGACAGGCATAGTAGCATCATGCTGGGTTGGGTGCTTTTATTCTGTTGGGAAAGAAAAGCAAAGTTTATGGGACTAAGGATGGAACTAAGTAAAGTGCAATCCTGGAAGAAAACCTGTTAGGGGCAGGAATAGACTTACAACAAAAACCTTAATCATACAGCCAGAGCACAGTGGTTTAAATCAAAGTCTACTTTGGGTTTAGTCAAAGATCAAACCCAAATAATCCAATTGAGAATCTGTGGCAAGATGTGAAAACCGCTCTTAACAGATGTTTCTGATCCCATTTGACTGAGCTTTATTTTTTTTTTTTTTTTTTTTTTTTTTTTTTTTTAGAAGAATGGGCACAAATACACACTTGGAAAGTTAGTGGAGAAAGAGGTGGCAAAAGACTTGTTGTAATATGTGGTTCTGGAAAGAATTGATTAAAGGAAAATAAATACAAATTCTGATCCCCACGTTTTAGATTTTTTTTTTTAAATGAACGTTGTATCATTTCCTTTCTATTTTAACAACTTTGCTCTAGTTTCTATAGCCCGTCATATTAACCTCTGATAAAACCGAATGAATTTTGTGGTTTTAGAGAGACGAAACGTGAAAGAGTTGATCAAGGCTCTCTGAGTTTCACAGCCTGATTGCCGTTTATCTTTTCGAAAATGTGCAATGTAGTCATATCTTGATTTATAATTTGTTTCGTATTTTGAGTCACTGCAAACAAACTTGGGAGAGAAGTTCATTTAGCTGCTGTAATTATAGAGCGACAGAACTCCCTTGTGACACTCGAGCAGGTAAACACACGTGGCAGCTTTTAGTCAGTAATAAAACTCGTACATATCATTTAGCTTGGACACATTTGTCGCAGTTGTCCATGAACACTGGTTTCTCACTTTACCACCTACAGTTCTGGCTGGGATGTCTTCATTCATGACTCGATCTGTTAATTGTGGCGCCTGCGATCCAAAACCTAAAATGGACTGAAATGAGTGTTTGTACGATCCAGAAAAAGAAGAGGGAAGGAGATGTCTTCATGGCCATTGTGAAGCTATTTTAGGAGCGGCACCAAGGCCTCTGGTTTCTGTCAGCCACTCTCCCACAGCCATCCATGCACGCTGCGATGCCCTGGATATTTGGAAAAGTTTCAAATGACTTTTATTCTGGACATTTGGAACATTCTAATTGTTTCCTTCCTAAACTCGCAATATGTTCCATTATACATTGAGATTATTGTTCCAGAGGATGCTTTTGTTTGTGTTTTTAAGACAAAACTGTAATATTCAAATGTATGATTTAATTGAAATTAACATATGAAGACAAATTTGATGTGAGTTTAGGATTATCGCAAAGACACACCAGACAAAGAAAAAGGTTTTTAGAGAAGAAGAAAAAATATTCTATCAAATAGGTAAGGATGAAGGTTAACAGTTGTGCATCAGGGTTAAGTGATTAAAGATATAGAAATTTGTCAACAAGTGAGGAGAGCATATTTTGAAGATGCAAGGGGGACTTCGAGAAGCTGTTAAATTGAGAAAACGAGAGATAAAAGAGTACTGTTAGAGAATCTGGAAGTGCAGAAGATTGTTAAGGCAGAAATGATATGTAGATGGGAAGAAGTGACAGATGTAGATGTAGAGATGTGTAGAAGAGAAGGCAATGAACTTTTCATTTAATGTAAAAACACCATTAAGAAATGGGAAAGCATTAATGAGGTTTAATTATGAAGAGAAGTGATGATCAGGGAGTGGTAGTTTGAATTACCCCCACACCTTGGTGCTGCCACCACCATGTTTTATGGTGAACATGGTGAGTGTGTTTGTTTTCCAATATGTATAGCCTTTTGCATGTCGCCCAATGAGTTCAGCTTCTAGAACATCTTTTCCCACATGCTTTCTGTGTCTCTACCTTGGCTTGTGCAGCTCATGGAAGTAGGATGAAGGCTGGTGTAACACAGAAGGACGCAGGCGCTAGAGGAAGATGACAGAGTTGTTCATGTATGGTAAACCCGTAAAACGGAGCAGCTGAATTAAGATTTGTAACATTATATGAGAGCGGCAAAAGCTTTCTGGGTGGCTTGACCTGAAAGCTGTCTGTGTTTTTTGGCAGTTCTCCATTAAGCCACCAGGTGATGCTGCATACCAGTTCATAACATCTGCAATCATTGAAGAAAGCCTACTTCATAAACACTCCCAGGACTTACATTAAATATACTAAAACCAGCATATATTGTCCTCATTATAACCAAAGCTATGAATTGGATGTAATGTGAAAATTTCTATAAAATTTTCACATTACTAATATTTTAACAATTTTAACGTAACAATCAGCATCCCTGTTCCTCTAAATTCTTCCACCTGTCGTCGTTCTTGTCTGGACTTATCGATTCAGATAAACCA